CGGCTACAAGGCCAAGCTCCCAATAATGACTCCTGGTGCTAAAAATACGACCGACACCGAGGAGATTTCATGGTGGTGGCACTCGAATGATGACTTTGATTTCGATACGATTGGCTATGCTATGCCCATGGTGGACGGTAAAAAGGTTTGTTCTTCACGTCATCCCTTGAGTTAGTATATGAAGTCTGAGATAGCGTTTATGGTTGGCGGCGCAGACGGCTAAGAGACTACGATCCGGATAGCTTCTCTGAGGCAGGCATTGAGAATCTATTTCCAGATCCTGGTCTGTGGAGACTGTGAATTTGGACCTATTGGACTACGAAGTCCTGACGCAAAAGAATTTTGGCTAGCTGTGGAAAGAGTCAGCTACGCAGACAAGCCAGCACCCAAAGGACACAAGATAGTTCCAAGAAAAGCGAAAAAGGCGTCGACCTGAAGGCTTCTTGACGATGAAAACATTGATGGCACGAAATGCAAAAATGAATATTAAAGATCAATGAAGACACTAGATCAAGGGTACAAAGACGCTACGCATGACAGGGAAAGCACGGCGCTGGTGTACATGAGGGGCGAGAGACATTATTACTATGCAGGGAGCCCATACATGCAAACCTTACCCTTCCTCCTTCCCCGTAGCAGAAGCCTAGGACGAGGCCACAGTAAGCGAAGAAGGAATTCCAGGCGTCTGACGTGTAATAAGTACATATTGATTAGCATTGTCTCACATCGTCGTGAAGAAGCGACTACTGGGTTCATAGGAACCTGTGATGTGATGCTTTATGGGCAGAACTGCGATCACGACCCATGCCAATGATAGACACCCTGTCCTCATCCATGCTAAAATTGTAACGGTTGGCTGAATTTTGGTTGAGTTGATGTTTGGCCTCCAGCAATCTTGAGTACCGCCTAATAAAAACCACTAGGAGAATTTTACATTATTTTCTCTCTGGGATGCGCCACGTACTCAACTATCGTTCACAATCGTAGCAACATTGCGAATGCGATTTGGGCAATGCAACGATTTTCGAGGCCATTTATACAAGTCCAGCGCCACGTGACTGACTCTAGAGGAGAGGAAAGCTGGTCGAGTCAGAAGGGATTCGCCACGGGACTCGACTACCGGGACTTGCGCAAACCTAATGGAGTGAGGTGCCGCTACACCAATTCCGCTCCACTCGCCTGTACCAGAGGAATCTGCTAATCCATGTCGGTGAACGACACCGTGCGCTCTGCACTAAGCAGCTTGACTTCCTGCATTAGGGAAAAGTATCGGGAGTGAATCATCCGGCGTTGATCGACTTCTGCTCCTGATGCGCCCCCGTACGCCTACTTCCCTTCCTGATCGTACAGCCATTTTGACTGTTGTCTGGCCTATACAAAGAATCCTGGGTCAGCCAAAGTATGATATAAGGTAGGACTTGCATCCTCACATGCACATCTGATTCTACCCCAGCTGTCGAGATGTCCTGGTTGTGGGCGGATGTTCTGGTTGGCTTCGGCGAGGTGCAATCCGTTGTTCGACCACCGAGTGATACGCGTGGGATGCACCGCCACACGCCACTCCTCCACTTCTACCTAGGCGATGGCAGAGGCACACTCCACTGCTGTGGTTCTTGCGCAAGAAGTTGAAAGTTGTGCTGCAAAGTGGACGGCAGCGAAGAAAAGAGAAAAGTTGAAAACACTCGTGGTGTGGGGACTTGTTCACTTTTGTAGAAGGCTTAAAGGAGCCTTTTCGCAAAAAATCGTGATTCTATCTCACCCATAATTCACTGGCTTGGGACCCATCGTTCACGATAAGAACGAAAAGAACAAAAAATTGCATTTGTTTTGGTAAAAAAAATTCGAAAAACCGAAAGGGCTGCTACGCGTTCAAAGTGCCGGACATCTGTCACAAATGCTGGCGACGGGAATGCTTCCACTTGGTTCTTGGAGTGCCTCACTAGAAACTCTTTCTGGCCTTTTGACTTATTGCATTCACATCTCACACTTCTACTCCATCCTATTCTATCGATCGATTTGTCTCTACTCTCCAAAATCGCACGCTTTAACCCGATTCTTTCATTGCGTCGCCTGATACGTAGCCGCCCCAAGGCGGACTTCTTTCCATGCCCCGCCTTTGGCTCCGCGCCTTTTACCTTCGATTGTAGAGTGTGGTTTTTGTAAGTTTGTTTCTCTTCGGAAACTGAATCTTTGTGCGTGAAACTTTGTATGTTGTCTCTAGTGATCACAACTGACATATGGGAAAGAATGCAAGGTTTTTCCGGGAAGGATTCCTCCAATGTTACTGAGACTGAAAACGAAGGTGAGAGTATGGGCGAGAGAACGCAATACCAGCAGACGAGACTGCCGCGGGCGATACAAAAGGATAACGGCTGTCTGAAGCGGTCTCTTTGCCAGTTGCCGGCGCCGTTGCTGCGCATTTTAGAGACGGGAAGAGCTTTACGAGCACTTTCGTCCTCCCACTTTCGTCCCCCTTCATTCACCTCCCCTCATTCTGGATTCTGTTTCCGAATGTGGAAAGAGCAACCAGAGGGGATCCTTACACTCCCCCCATGTGCGATGTCGAGAATGTCGGCGGTTCTGGTTGCTCGGTCGTAAGCAACCATTACAACCAATGTTGGCGATGCTAACCACCTATTCAACAACTATTCATGCGGCCTCTTGTAAGCGACGTACGAGCCATGTTATTCCAACCAAAATCGTACATGCGGGAACTTCCCTCGCTTGATGCGCACATGAATCATTCATTTGACGTTCTTCACACTGCAACAGGCGGCTTGTAGTCATACTGAGCAAACTTCTTACAAGGCGGCTTCTTCTAATCGCCATGTTGAAGCTTCATGGACCCCATCCTCAGCTCCTCCAACACAAACATCTCGTACTGCTACTTAGAGCGACCTAGTGCATTGTTTTTTCAACTGATTTTCAGTTCAACCCCTCACCACCTTCCGTAGTCACTGACGATCGTCGAGTGGGAAAGGTCGATAGGAGTCGCAGAGAGGCTTCGTAGCGACCTTCATTTCCCTCGGGCGTTATTCGTTTTTCAAGGCATGTAATCGTTCACTCAGTGACATTCCCACGAAGTGAACCTTGCGCTTATTCGTAGCTTCAGCTTTCGTGACGCTTTCGCTCAGTCATTTTTATCATACGTTGGTCATAGCAGTTCTTGTTCCTCCAGCCAGGCAAGCAGAGAATTTTTCGCGAAATCAGAGAGGTCTTGAATCTTATGGTTTTTACTGCATCAAGGCAGCGGTGACGATAAGTCCTAGAGGGTTAGCCAATGGCGAAAAAAGCAGAGAAGTCCGTCGAGAAGACGCCAAATTGGGCGCCATCAATTTATCTCCCTCGCATAGTCAGAGCTAGTGTCTCTGGGAAGCTATCCACAGCTAACCGCTTGAAGAAATTGTACGAGCAGCTTCAGGCTGGAGCGAATGCGGTAGGCCTCCTTGAGCTCCAGGTGATGGCAGATGACGTCATATTCTGAAGACGGTCAGTGAAAGAGACCTGCTTCTGCTGATGGAGGGGGATCATCTGAGAAATGTTTCGCCATGAAACTCCCATCAATGGCGGTACCTTCTGCGATGAAAAGTTTGGTGATGTACGCCAGTTGCAGTGACTCTTTTTTGGCCTCCCTGTATTTCCCCTGTGCGTACAAATTTTGTTGTAATCACTTCCTTTCAGTAGTTCCATCTTCCTTGTTGCACACGACTTCTTCTCTCTCACCCTAGACCTTCTTCCCATCTTTCACCATTCTCTCCGTCGACAAACTGAGCAGCTTCGATTCTGGAAAAGTTCTAAAATTTCGAAGTACGATGTGCCGTACAGGCATTTCTGCCACTTTCTCTCCTCCCTACACCCACCCCCCCCCACCCCTTCTTTCTCGTCCATCTTTCTCGCTATGTTTCTGGAAGTGAAGCCTTGGAGAAAAGTAGCTAAGTAAGCATATAAGTAGCTTCGAGGTCCACCACCCGTTGAGGTTATAAACCCGAAAATGAGAGCCTTCTAGGGATGCTCTAAAGGGTAGAAGAGAGAGTCTATCCTTGATTTGAGCCAACGCAGTGCTTAACAGTTCTAGTGGGCGACAGTCCTAGTGGGCTCGACGTTAGAACGTTCGTTCTGCACTCAAGGAACAGAATGGCAATCGATGGGTTTCAATAAAGTTCATGTCCAAGCCTGTAAGACAAAAAGAGGTGCTCCAGAGTTAGGCATACGCTTCTTGTACACGCCGTGCATCTAACTTTCACTTTCAAATGGTACTCGAATGAATCAAATGTGCGTGGGGCCGTTATTCGGATTAGTGATATTATTGCACTAATGAATTTCGACAAGTCAGTAGGCCCCAAAGGCAAGAAGACACTACGAGTACCTGGGTTGAATGTGATGCGAGCAAGCCTAGGCCGCAACACTAATTCCACCCATCCGCTGGAGTTCAATACTGTTGTGGTCCATGAGACGACCCGTAGCCGTGCGTTACCTGAGCTCCATCTTATGGTTAGCTGCCTCAGGCGATTTCCGACCAAACTTGTACGCTCCCCAAGAGGATCTGATAACCTGCAATGGGTCTCATCCCCTGCCACTTTTGTCCGCGTTTCTGCACCTTTCCTATAAGGACGAAACACACTCGAAGGGGAAAAAAGCTTATTTCTCGTCCATCTTGCTTTTTGCAGTGATATGTTCGCCAAATTGGTGCCACTCAGCAACGATTTACGCCACCTACTTGTCTTTATTGAGCATCTCGTCACAGTCAGCCAAATTTTATAACATTGGCACACATCTGTCGCTCTGCCGTTGTTCCAGATAACCTTCGGTCTTACCCAAAATAGGCGATAGGCAGTTTTGGGTGCGCTACGTTCAGTCACACTTGCCTCACCACAGCCACCAATAAACTTTTGAACCACTGATTTTGCAAAGAGGCTTAGAAGAAGCAAAACTCGCGGTGTTCATGATTAGAGGACAGGAAGAGGGAGGGAGGGGGAAGGGGGAGCGCGGCA